CCTGTGATTGGCTGGCCGCAGCTCCGGGTGTCCGCTGCTGTGGAGTCACCTTGGCCCCGGCTGCAGCTGCTCTCCTCGGGGTGAAACTTGCTCCATCCCCCGGGCCTCGCTTCGCACTGACACCGGACCGAACCGTCACCGAGCCCGCAACGACACCGGCCCGCAGCCCGCACGCACGCCGCCATGGCCGACGCCAAACCCAAGACCTCCCCCAAGGCCGTCAAGTTCCTGTTCGGGGGACTGGCCGGGTAAGCGCCGCCGTTAGCTCCGCCGTTAGCTCGTTAGCTCCGGGTTAGCTCCGCCGTTAGCTCCGCCGTTAGCTCCGGCGGTCACGGGGTTTTAAAAGGTCAAAAACAGAGATTTAAGACGGAGAAAAACCCGAACAAACCCGGACACACAACCTGGATACTACTGCACACTTCTCCTACTGACACGAATGGATCAGACCTGGTTTAGTCCTGGTTTAGACCTGGTTTAGTCCTGGTTTAGACCTGGTTTAGTCCTGGTTTAGTCCTGGTTTAGACCTGGTTTAGTCCTGGTTTAGACCTGGTTTAGACCTGGTTTAGATGGTTTAGACCTGGTTTAGTCCTGGTTTAGTCCTGGTTTAGTCCTGGTTTAGACCTGGTTTAGTCCTGGTTTAGACCTGGTTTAGACCTGGTTTAGTCCTGGTTTAGTCCTGGTTTAGACCTGGTTTAGACCTGGTTTAGTCCTGGTTTAGACCTGGTTTAGACCTGGTTTAGACCTGGTTTAGACCTGGTTTAGATCTGGTTTAGTCCTGGTTTAGTCCTGGTTTAGTCCTGGTTTAGACCTGGTTTAGTCCTGGTTTAGTCCTGGTTTAGACCTGGTTTAGACCTGGTTTAGACCTGGTTTAGATCTGGTTTAGTCCTGGTTTAGTCCTGGTTTAGTCCTGGTTTAGACCTGGTTTAGACCTGGTTTAGACCTGGTTTAGACCTGGTTTAGACCTGGTTATACCTGGTTATACCCCGGTTGAGTCCCGGTTGAGTCCCGGTTGAGTCCCGGTTGAGTCCCGGTTGAGTCCCGGTTGAGTCCCGGTTGAGTCCCGGTTGAGTTCCGCTTTTAGGGTGTTTTTTACAGTGGAGCAGGTTTTGTGTTTTCACTCAAAACTCTGGTGGTGGACAGGTGACAGGTGGACAGGTGACAAGTGGACAGGTGACAGGTGGTGGACAGGTGGGGCACAGGTGACAGGTGACGGTGACAGGTGACGACAGGTGGACAGGTGCAGGTGACGGGCAGGTGACAGGTGACGGGACAGGTGACGGGCAGGTGGACAGGTGGGACAGGTGATGGAGGTGACAGGTGGACAGGTGACAGGTGACAGGTGACAGGTGACAGGTGGACAGGTGGACAGGTGGACAGGTGGACAGGTGGACAGGTGACAGGTGGACAGGTGACGGGCAGGTGACGGGCAGGTGGACAGGTGCAGGTGACAGGTGACAGGTGACAGGTGGACAGGTGGACAGGTGACACAGGTGACAGGTGGACAGGTGACAGGTGACAGGTGGGACAGGTGACAGGTGCAGGTGACAGGGCAGGTGACAGGTGACAGGTGACAGGTGACAGGTGACAGGTGGACAGGTGACGGCAGGTGAGGTGACAGGTGACAGGTGACAGGTGACAGGTGGGTGAGGTGACGGGGTATCTGAACCTGTGAGCCTGTGGTTAAAGGGCAAAGGTGAGGAGCGTCTGATGTTTGAGTCAATAATGTTTTATCAGAAAAGTCCACAAACGTCTGGATCTTTGGTCCTGCACCAGGTTCTTCCTCGCCTCAGTTTTGGTTCCAAGTCCAAGTGTTGTTGTTTTTTTCCAGTTGGTGAAGTTTTTCTGAACGTTTGTGTTGAAGCTTCAGACAAAACGCAACAAAAATAAAACGTCACACAGAAAATCTTCGTTCTGTAAATTTGAGCTGATTTCAACCAGAACTGACTAAATTATTGGCCTGAGAAATGATTTTACGACTCTCTGGATTTGTTCAAGCTCACTCGGTCTGGACCTGGACTAAAGCACAGGGTTCCCACGCTCATGGAAGTCCTGGAAAAGTCCTGGAATGTTAGTGTGTGTTTAGTGTTTCTGTTTTGTTCTGATTCTTTGTGAACGTCTTTAGTTTAAACAGACGACAGTAAACTCACCGAGGATTTAAAATGTTCAAAAACTATCATCTCAAACCAGAAGGAGAGAGGAAAGATTTAACGTTTCAGATTTACACTCAAACTCTGATCTGTTCTACACATGGAGGTGCTGGAAAGTCCTGGAAAATTCACTTTAGTCATGAAAAAGTCATGGAAAAGTTTGGAAATGTCAGTGAAAAAGAAGCGGAACTCTGAACCAGGACTGGACCAGGACTGATTTGGGTCTGGAGCGGGTCTGGAGCGGGTCTGGAGCGGGTCTGGACCGGGTCTGGACCGGGTCTGGAGCAGGACTAAATCAGGTCTGTGTTATCGGTGTTTATCAGAGTGAGACTCGTCTAAAGTCCAGTCGTGTTGAAATCTGAAATCAGGTCAAATTCCTCTGAGCCCAGGGGCTTTAATACTTTAAAAACTCTAAATACTCCACCCACTGCAAGTACTTTCACCAACTGCAAGTACTTTGAGGGAGCGCGGTACTTTGAGGGAGCGCGGTACTTTGAGGGAGCGCGGTACTTTGAGGGAGCGCGGTACTTTGAGGGAGCGCGGTACTTTGAGGGAGCGCGGTACTTTGAGGGAGCGCAGTACTTTGAGGGAGCGCAGTACTTTGAGGGAGCGCAGTACTTTGATGCTCTGTACACATACTTGTTGTCGGTGTCGGTGACTTGTGGACGAGGCCTCAGTGTTTCTGTTGTTGGTTTTTCTTTAGCTCCAACTGGTGGTTTAAAAACTGAAGTGTCTCCTGCAGAAGGACACAGACGGAGACACAGACGGAGACACAGACGGAGACACAGACGGAGACACAGAGACAGACACACAGACGGAGACACAGAGACGGAGACACAGAGACGGAGACAGAGACACACAGAGACGGAGACAGAGACACACAGAGACGGAGACACAGACACACAGAGACGGAGACACAGACACACAGAGACGGAGACACAGACACACAGAGACGGAGACACAGACACACAGACACAGAGACACAGAGACACACAGACGGAGACACAGACACAGACAGAGACGGAGACACAGAGACGGAGACACAGAGACGGAGACACAGAGACGGAGACACAGAGACAGAGAGACACAGAGACGGAGACACACAGACACACAGAGACGGAGACACAGACACAGACACAGAGAGACACACAGACACAGAGACACAGACACACAGAGACACAGACACACAGAGACACAGACACAGATGGAGACACAGACGGAGACACAGACGGAGACAGACGGAGACACAGACAGGGACAGGGACAGAACTGGTCTGTGACTCTGAGATCATCACATGACAGAAGAAGAAACACAGACTCATAAAAACAAGTCTCAGTCTGTTGGACATAAAGTCAAAGACAAAAACACAAAACACGACGAGAAAAACTGAGAAAATCTAAGTCAAATCCTCTCGGCGACCGTGTTCCTGCAGTAGTAGTATTTGTAGTATTTGTAGTATTTGCAGTATTTGCAGTAGTAGTAGTAGTACTTTGTGTATTTTTCAGGATGGGGGCGACGGTGTTCGTGCAGTAGTAGTGTTTGCAGTAGTAGTAGTAGTACTTTGTGTATTTTTCAGGATGGGGGCGACAGTGTTCGTGCAGTAGTAATGTTTGCAGTAGTATTTGCAGTAGTAGTAGTAGTACTTTGTGTATTTTTCAGGATGGGGGCGACGGTGTTCGTGCAGTAGTAGTGTTTGCAGTAGTATTTGCAGTAGTAGTAGTAGTACTTTGTGTATTTTTCAGGATGGGGGCGACGGTGTTCGTGCAGTAGTAATGTTTGCAGTAGTATTTGCAGTAGTAGTAGTAGTAGTACTTTGTGTATTTTTCAGGATGGGGGCGACGGTGTTCGTGCAGTAGTAGTGTTTGCAGTAGTATTTGCAGTAGTAGTAGTAGTACTTTGTGTATTTTTCAGGATGGGGGCGACGGTGTTCGTGCAGTAGTATTTGCAGTAGTAGTAGTAGTACTTTGTGTATTTTTCAGGATGGGGGCGACGGTGTTCGTGCAGTAGTAGTTTTTGCAGTAGTAGTAGTAGTACTTTGTGTATTTTTCAGGATGGGGGCGACGGTGTTCGTGCAGTAGTATTTGCAGTAGTAGTAGTAGTACTTTGTGTATTTTTCAGGATGGGGGCGACGGTGTTCGTGCAGTAGTAGTGTTTGCAGTAGTATTTGCAGTAGTAGTAGTAGTACTTTGTGTATTTTTCAGGATGGGGGCGACGGTGTTCGTGCAGTAGTAGTGTTTGCTGTAGTATTTGCAGTAGTAGTAGTAGTACTTTGTGTATTTTTCAGGATGGGGGCGACGGTGTTCGTGCAGCCTCTGGACCTGGTGAAGAACAGGATGCAGTTGGCCGGACAAGGAACCAAAGCCCGAGAATATAAAACCAGCTTCCACTGTCTCCTCTCCATCCTCAAGAACGAGGGGGTCAGAGGGGTCTACACCGGGTAAGACACGGGGTCAGAGGGTCAGAGGGGTCAGAGGGGTCACCCGGGTAAGACGAGGGGTCAGAGGGGTCAGAGGGGTCTACACCGGGTAAGACACGGGGTCAGAGGGGTCTACACCGGGTAAGACACGGGGTCAGAGGGGTCAGAGGGGTCAGAGGGGTCTACACCGGGTAAGACACGGGGTCAGAGGGGTCAGAGGGGTCTACACCGGGTAAGACACGGGGTCAGAGGGGTCAGGGGTCAGAGGGGTCAGAGGGGTCTACACCGGGTAAGACGGGGTCAGAGGGGTCTACACGGGGTCAGAGGGGTCTACACGGGGTCAGAGGGGTCTACACGGGGTAAGGGTCACACGGGGTCAGGGGTCAGGGGTCTACACCGGGTAAGACACGGGGAGGGTCAGAGGGGTCACACCGGGT